AGTCAATCAGTCAATTACTTTACTCTTTTATTAGAATAGATTAAATAGGTTACGGTTTAATTTAATTTTTATTTACAAAAAAATACTCCCTTTGAGGTCTATTCCATTCAATTAATTTCTCTAACCTCCATTTTAATTTCCCCATTTTCCATTTCAACTAATTTGTTTGTGTCTCTCCAACAATTATTGACCCATTTTCCAATGTTTATTTTCAATTACTGCTTCTTTTCCTGTTCTTATCACACCAATTGCAAATTAATTTCCTGCACTTTTCAATATTGCATAGCATTTGACAAGGGTTGCCAATAATTAAAAAATAAAAATGAAATATAAAATCAGTAAATAAAAATTAAATTAATAACAAAAAAAACTTGTTAAATGAAATGAAAACGTTAATTTAAATATTAAATACTAGCAAAGTGCCCAGGAAGGGAATACAAAAAATATTTCATAGCAAATACGTACAGGTTCCACATTTAGTTTCATTTAGTATTTTTCGTACTCATAAGTACAAATTTCCAAATGTACCTCAATCCTGCTTTCAAATAGTAATCGTAAGTCCAAATTTAAGAATTCCTGCTCTGTCTGTTAATTAAAAATCTCAATATTTCAAATCTGCTTTCAAATAGCAATCGTAAGTTCAAATTTAAGAATCTGGTCTCCAAATTGTACCAGATTTGGTACTATTCCTAGACTCCCACATTAACCTAAGTGGCAACTTCCAGAATTCGAGTTCTATCCGTTCACTCAAGTCCTAATTGTACCAAATTTTGGCTTTCGCACCCATAAGTACGATTTTCCAAAACTACCTCAGTCATGCACTCCAATAATAACCCAGCTCTATCCGTTCACCTACATCCAAATTGTATCAAATTTAGTATCATTTAATACTTTTCGTAGATGTAAGCACGAGTTTATAAAACTTCCTCAATTCCACACTGCAACAGTAATTTTAATGACAATTTTCAGTATCCCATCCCTATCCGTTCACATAGATCCAAATTGTACCATGTTTAGTACTTTTCGTACTTATGAGTTCGAATTTCCAACTCTGTCTCAATCCTGTACTCTAACAGTAATTTTATTTTCAAATAAATGTTTTCCATCTCTTCCTACAATCCAATCCTTAATTTTAATTCCAAATTTTATGATTCCCGCTCACACAAAACGGATTGTACCATATTTAGTACCATTTAGTGCCTCTAGTATCCATAAGTACGTAATTCCAATACTACCTAAATTCTGGAATTTTCATTCCAAATTTAGGTTTTCCATGTCTATCCGTTAAATCGAATCTAAATTGGACCAAATTGTGTACCATTAGTGGGTTTTTGGAAATTCGTACTAGAACGGGACGAAAAGTACTAAATGTAATACCATTTGTATTTGGCGAACCGGTATAGCTAGAACTCTTAAATTTTAAATGAGAGTCACTGATGGAGTGTAGAATAAATATAGCAAAGAGTTTTTTGGACATTCGAACTATAAATATGCGAAAAGTACTAATATGTACTAATTTTAGTACAATTTCGTAGCATGTGAATGGATAGAGCTAAAAAGTTGAAATTTGGAATGCGAATAAGAGTTGAGATGTAGGGTCTATTTAAGGAGATGGTTTTGAAAGCGTGTACTCATGTGTACGAAATGTACTATATGGTACTCTATTTGGTACACATTTCATTTGGAGATACAAATCGAGCTGGAATCCTGAAATTTGAAATTAACAATACCGTCGAAGTGGGATATGTACATAGTTTTGGAAAATGTTTACTTGTGTGTACGAAAAGTACCAAATCGTACTATAATCGGTACAGTTTGAATTTGGGTGAACCAATAGATTTGGGTGAACCGATAGAGAACAATGAAATTTCGAGTCAGGATCATTGTAGGGGTGTGGGATTGGGGTCAGGATTCAGGTTAAGAAATTAATACTTATGAGTACTAAATGTTACTAAATTTGGTACAATTTGAATTTTAAGCGAACCAATAGAGCTAGAATCATGAAATTTGGAGTCAGGACCACTGTTGGGGTATAATATTGAGATATGTAAAAGTTTTAAAAATTTGTTCTAAGTGTACTAAATTTGGTACAATTTAAATTGTGGGTGAACCGGTAGTGTTGGAATCCTGATACTTGGATTTATGATCACTGTGGAGGTGTAGGATTGTGGTATGTAGAATTTTTTGGAAATTGGTACTACTGTGTCCAGACATTTGATAGACCTTGAAAAATATTTTTAGGTAATACACCTAGCCTTTGGATGGTCCTTATGTTTGTACTTGTAAAAACAACCTTTAAAAAATCAACGTCTTGTTGTGACCCTTTAAAAATATTCTTTAAAAAATCCACCCTTTGTCCTAGTCCTTGCAAAAACTATCCTTTAAAAAAAATCGAGGCTATGGATGGTCTCTGAAAAAATATTCCTTCAAAAATCTTGGCTGGATCTTTAAAAAATCCACGATTTGTTCATGTCCTTAAAACATATGTAGAAAAAACCAAATTTGAAAGAATTTGTTTTAAAATGAAAAAAACTTTTAAAAATTATGAATTAAAAAATATTATTTAATAAATCGACAGATCAAATCAATGGTATGTTCACTTCTAATCCACACATTCTTAAAACGTCCACGATATGTTGATCCATAAAAAATATTGTTTTAAAAAATCCACTGCCCTTTAGAGGTTCACCTCTAAATCTTCAATTGGAATTTTCGTTGTCCTTATGGAGATGTTCTAACCTAAAGGTCCGGTGTTAAGAGTAAACATAAAAACCTATCGGAAAAAACTTGTAGAGGGTTCAAAACATTTTCCGAAGAATTCTACATCCAAAAAATAATCTTAGCGACTTCGTACCTACCTTCTATTGAAAAATATTTTTTATAAAATTCACCCTTATGTTGAGTCCTTAAAAATCCACGTTCCTTTAAAAATTATTATCCAAAAATCGCCGATTATGTTTGTCTATGGGTTTGGATTATTTTCCGACCATTTTTTCATCCAAAATAAATCCAGCTAATACCAACATTTTGGTGTATGGATGTATGTATGATATTTGTAATGTATGTATGTTTTCTTTGCTTCGTGTGTGTCTTGCTGCAACATGACGATTTGTTTGACATTTATGTATGCTAAAAATCCGTCCAAGTGTAAAGAAGAGATTCCAAACAGATTTTACAATTCATTATTGACTTTCAAGTTGTTTGTTGTTGGTTGCTTGCGCACGCTGTGATAGTGGAGAGGGTAGGAAGGGGGCTGCCTTTCAAAAACAAACATGAACTCAATACTGCGGGGCGGCGGCACATGAACTGCTGAACTCCACTGATGTTGATGAGCAGAGCGAGCGTTCGTTCTAGAAGTAATATTTGTACAACCCACTTTTTGATAGCATTTTTTTCGCATTCGTCTTAAAAAAATTGAAAAAAAAAAACACCCAATGAGTGCCGGAGTGAGTGAATGAATGACAAAACGAATGAATGGTTCTCTTGCATATGAATGTGAAATGTCGAATGGGGGTCTGTTAGACAAAATAAAAAAAACCTTTCTGTCATCTAAAAAATTAGCATTGGCAAAAGTAGGGCACCTCATTGCCCTGGCTTCTCTATATTTCAATCAATATTCAATCGAATAGGCAGGCAATCATCATCAGAAAATAAATGGGGACAACAAATCTGTACCAGGAAAAAATTCTGTATATTTTTTGTTGGTGTATTTTTATTATTATTGTTAATAAATGTATAAGCTACTAGCAGGATCGAATTGTTTATGTTAAGCTCTTATGAAATTATGTGCAGAACTATGTTTCCTTAAATAAATAAATTAACCCATTAATCCAAATAATATTCAAAACTAATATATTTAATTTTTTTGTATTAAGATTAACAAACTAATATCATTATCATCTTCATATTTCAAAATTTATTTAAATATAATTCACCAAATATTTTATTGATAAACAAAATTTTCAATTTTTGCCATATTTGATATTTGATTTGTGCTTTTTTTATTACAAAATATATATTTTTTAATTTAATTTTGATTTTTTTCATTAAAATTAATTTTTCTTTATTTCTTCATCTTCTATTTTTCGGTTTTGCTTCATCACTTCTGAACTGAATTGTTGCTTGTTGATTCCTTATGATTTTTGCTGATTTGGGTTTTGCGCTCTCTTTCACACACACAAATACACGCACACACTCATGCACACACATTAGAAATGTTTAAACATTGGCCTTCACAGTCCTTAGACGACGATCATTACAAAGAATTGGATTGCCCCGTCATAGAAGGATAATCGACCAAGCAACATCATCCAAAAACAACAACAACATCATCATCACCATTATCATCAGCAACATTATCGACATTCTACTTTGGAAAGTAGTACTTCCAAACCAATCATCCAAAATCAGCAACGAAAAGCCAAAATCACATTATTGGAACAAAGAAGAAGAATACGGAATTTTGAAAATCAATTCTCTTTTTTCCATTTCTTTTTTCTTCCTTCCCAACATTTTCAACATTTTGGATAACCACAGAGAAGTCACATTAATTTGGAACCCATATAAGAGACGTTAATTCAAACAACGGCGGCGGCGGAGGATTTTGGATATCAACCAATATACCTCGAAAAAAATACCGCAACCCACCACGAACCCAAAACCAAACCAAACAAAATTTTTGCATTTCTCGGCTCTCCTCTAAATCCATTTTAGGGGAGTTCTCTTGGAATGTTGGAATACCCTCAACGTTTTACACGTACTGTCCCCGAACCCTTATTAACACAAAACAACACAACACATCAACAGCAACAACAACTACCAAAACATCACCAACAGCCACAACCACTGCCACATCAAAACTTTCAAACAACACAACAGCAACAACAAACAGCGGGATCATCTTATTATCCCAACCAACAACAACAGTCATCATATCCAACAACGCCAGCTTCACCGGCCCATCAGACCCGTTATCCTCATCCATCCCAATCATCACAACAACAGCCACCACTACCACCGCCCTCACAGCATCATCAACGGAATCTCTCGACCGCCTCATCGTGTAGTGCCCAACACAAAAGTGTAACCTTCAGTCAAGTGCCGTCGAATAGTGGCGATTATAGTGCCGGCAGCAGTAGTGGCAATTCCAGTTGTGGTGGTCAACAATCAATGGCGGGCAACATGAAGCACGGTAAGCATAGTTATAATGACATGTTTTTTTAACTTATACATTTTCTTCGATTATTTTAGTTTTTAAATCCGAGGATTTGTATAACATCGCGATTCATTATACCCACAACCTCATGGCGAATGAGGTTTTATTTAAACTTTGCTATGGCAAAAATGTGCTTCGTCGAAATATTGGGATTTGGACTCCCAGTCAGTGTTGCCGAAAGTGGGCATTTATGCCCAAAAGTGGGCATAAAAAAATGTAAAATTTATGACTTGGGCGGATTTTGGGCATTTTTTATTTTCATCAAATTGATATTTTTATATTTGTTTTCTCGATGTTGTGAGTTATATTATAGGCCCAAGAATTAATAAAGACGTAATATTGCTCCTTAAAGTATACCGATATATCATGACCGTCTGCTCATTATAATTTGTAATTATGGATCCTACGTCATTTGCATGTATGTTCTGCACAAAGACGGCACCTATCGGTTAGGTCAATGATCGGTAAATATTTGGGGGATAAAATGGACCAACTAATTTATTTTTGGCTTTTTTCTGGCCCATCTAGAGATTGGTGTTTCCGACAGATATATACCCTTATACCCTAGGTGGATATTTTTTTTTTTTAAGTTGTGACTGTTTGTGGGAGAGGTACTACAGATGATGGTAGCCGATAATTGTCCTAAATTTGCCATGTTTAAATCGGCTAATATTGGGTTTATATATAATGACAATTTGGACACTTTGTGAGGATGTATCAGAAGAATTGAACCGATGCATGCCATCGTCAACATCATCAACATTTTTGTGTCGGAGGTATCAGAAGGAGTGGTTTGATATTCCCCATCTTTGAACTTAAACTAAGTTTAGAAGAAATATTAGGATTATTCTCTTCGAGAGTTATCGTGCGCACCAGCCAGAAATATTTATAAATCCAATATCGGGCTAATGAACTGTCAGATTTGAACCAAACTGTGCACAACCTATTACCTCTACCAAGCCTAGATCAAGTTTGAAGATGGGACCCATTGGCCCACTCCTTCTGTTACCTCCCCCCAAAAAGGTAAAAATTGTCAATATTTATAAATCCAATATCAGGCGATTGGAATGCCCGATTTGAACCAAACTTTGCACAACCTATTATATTTACCAAGCCTAGATCAAGTTATAAGGTGGGACAAGTCTGCCCTCTCTTCTGGTACATCCTACAAAAGAAAAAATCCGAAACATCTTTAATTAAACATATACCTTTTTTAAAATGAGTAATAAATCACCATAGGGTGAGGGTATATATCTGTCGGCAACGCCGACTGACACTTTTTTACTTGTTTATATATAACGTCAGGGTATACTTTTTCAAATCTTGATTTTTTGGGCATAAATTGTTCATTTTGGCACTTTTTAGGGGAAATTTTGGGCGGAAAAAAAATCTTCGAACGGCAACACTGCTCCCAGTTTCCGACAATTTGGAGTCGATTTACAAATGTCGGTTTGTCCGCACGATAACTCTCGAAAAGAGTAACTAATTTCATTTAGCTTTGCATAACGCAATATTTCTTCCAAGTTTAGTTTAATTTAAAACACACGGATTATCGGTCCACTTCTTCTGGTGTCTCACCCATAAAAGGTCAACATTTTGAACACTTGCACTTTCCATAAGAAGCGAATAGAAAATATACGTTTCGAAAAATCCTTATATTATATCATTTTCTCCTTCAGACTATATTTAAATATTTGGTCAATATTTCAAGTGTTTACAAAAATTGCGCCATGCTTATTTGGATTCCACCCAAAAGTATGCTTCAAGAAATATTATTTTTATGTGTTTCTATTGTATTTTGTCCACTAAATATTCTTTTTGACATATCATTATTATAGTTTTCTGATTCAAATCGAGTGTATCCTAGAAAAAAATCACAATTTTAGAATTCAGATTGTAGCCATAATATATAAAAAATTATTGTTAACTGCACCTAAAAGTATGCATCATTCTTTTTTACAAAATTTCCTTGTTTTAACCTTTAGATTCATATTTAAAATATTCTTTTTTACACGAAAATCTTTGTCGATTTGACTTGCAGTCTGGTCTCTCTTCCCCGTGTAAAATATCGTGATGTTCAGAACATATTTATGGTCTCTTTTAAGTACAAAATTCTTGGCCCTTTTGACCCGATAAATAATGACGAAAATAATCAAAGGCAGTCAGTGATGTGATGTTCGAGTCATAATTATATCATAATTAGAGCGACCAGACCGACCATGAAGAAAAATAGTAGGTATTGTCTTTAGCCAGAATAGAATCTACATACGACGGACAGACCCACAACATTGTTGTGTAGAGTATTAGGAATTCAGTTTGTGATAAAATTCAAGACATATTCACCGTTCTCAGTATTTAATTAAAAAAAAATATTAAAAAAAAACATAATACATATTTTGTATTGCGCCCAAAAATAGGCTTCAAAATTATGATCATTTTTTTCAGTTCTGTTTAAGGGGACAAATTACAGGTCGCAACCCATACAGATCGCATATATAGTTTCGTCCGATTTTATTTCATTCCACAGTTTAGGTTGTACTAACTTCAGTACAACCTAAACTGTGGAAAGTTGAAATCCGTTCAGATTAGGATATAACTTCCATATATATTTTAAGTAAATGGTGCTCCAAACTCTTCATGTTTGTCAGATTGAAACGAAATTTAGCACAACGTACAAAATTGAGCATAGAATGGTGTAGTTGCGTCATTGTAGAAATGCGGACATAGTCCATATATATTTTCGACCGACTTCGTGTTAATTGGTCTCCAAATAATCAACGGGCGTACGATTGAGATTTGCTTTACATCGATTTCCATCACGACACCAAACCTGTCCAAATAAAAAATTTAGAATAGTTTTTAAAATGACATGTTTATGAATTGATTGAGGGAGGTTCTACACTCCTCCATTTCATTTCCTATTTACTTTTATTTATACTGCGACGTCTGCTAAGATGCATATGTTGAATATACCCAAAGTGGTAATGGATATCATTTAGTCGGCTCCTTCCGACTATACTACTTTCCTTACTGGTTTATATTGATTTTTTTTATAAAAAATCGTAATAGGGAGGTTCTACATCTGGTTTATATTGATTTTTTTATAAAAAAAATCGTAATAGGGAGGTTCTACACACCTCCATTCCATTTTCTATTTATTTTTATTCATTCTGTTTCTTTATGATCCATTGTAACTTCTTATTGAATTCATTTGAATATAAATCGATTTTTATAGTATAAAGCCGAATTATTAAAAGTTCTTAGTCGTATAATAAAGGATTATACCCTCCACCATAATACGGAGGATATATTAATTCTGTCCTTCCGTTTGTAACTCTTCGAAATATTCATTTCCGACCCTTTAAAGTATATATTCTATATACCCAAATTTACGGTATTTTAAAGCGCGCTTTTAAACCGAATTGGCTAAAATTTGGTACAATGAGTTCTTATTGGGTACCAAATTTTTTCAATAAAAATTTCAAAAAATATGGTAATTTTTTCGGGTAGTCCCCATACAAGACACACTTAATTTTCGCTTTTTTGGGGTTCTTGATCGTATTTTTCAACTGAATTCGCTACCATTTGGTATTTTGTAGTCGTTTTATCGGTATAGGTTCAATTTTTGGTATGCTCCCTATATTTTCTTTTCAAGTATCTGTCAGTAAAGCTATGGTGGAGGGTATGCAAAGTTCGGCCCGACCGAACTTAACGCCTTTTCGCTTGTTTTTGTTATTATTAAGTTATTGCAATTTGATTGTTTTTGTTTTAAAATGACTAGTAAATTTTTATTAATATCCATTTCGTTTTTTCTTTACCACCCCTCCCAGGAAAATCACAAGAAGACGTCTGCTACGTAGTAGCCAAATACGATTATGCAGCACAGGGAGCACAAGAATTGGATTTGCGAAAAAATGAACGTTATCTGCTGTTAGATGATACCAAACATTGGTGGCGTGTACAAAACAGTCGTAATTTATCCGGATATGTGCCCAGTAATTATGTGAAAAAGGAAAAACCATCACTGTTCGATAGGTGAGTAGTAAACCATCAATAAATAAATATATCTTACCAATCTATAATCACTAATCCAATATTTGTTTTCTTTTACCCATGTCATAGTTTCATTCCACAAAACAAGTGTATTTATTATTTTTTTTTTCTTCCTTACTTTATAGCTTTTGGCTTATTTGCTTCGATTTTTTGGTTTAATTTATTAAGTAGCAAATTTTCTATAATTAAATATTTTTTATTGATTATTATCATATATGTGTGTGTATATATTTGCCATGTAATTATGTATGTATTATAATTGTTTATTTTATTTATTATTATTTTATAACACAATTTAATTTGCAATTTGTTTCATGTATGTATATATACTTTTCCCCACAAGAAGCCATCACACATTTTTTTTCTCAAAATTCACGTATGATTTTTTTTTTGTTTTTGTTAATCTATCGAGACAAATGTTGTTTGTTCATTATGTATTTCCCCCCGGGGTTCTCTGGCTGTTATCGCAGCTGCCAATGAATTCTTCAAAAAAACATATTGTTATTGTTCTGATGTGTTTCGCTGCTTGTCCTCCCATCTCCCCTCAACATTTCCATTTCCAGACAATAACAACAACAAAAAAAGTACACAAACGACAAATAGCAACAGCAGCTCCCCCACTGTGTGTGTGCAACACTTCATTTGAAGAAGTTCATCATTTAGACTTTAGTTGTAGTACCCCTATTGTTGCCGGTGCGTGCGTGTGTCTCTGTCGATTTATCTTACTTCGGCGCAACAAAACCATAAACGTATACTTATGAAGCGTTAAATTTCCTCCTCATCTTCCTCGTTCGTTAGACGAACAATAATAATAGCAATAAACCATTCCTGAAGCTTGTGTTGTTTTTTATGAGGCTTTTATTTTGCTTGCATTTATTCGGTGGTTCGTTCGTCTCGGTCGGTCGTTCAGTTCAGTTAATTTTTTTATGAACTCGCGTGGCACAATAATGGTGATGAAACCCCAATAACCCAAAGAGAGAGAGAGCAAGACATCACTTAAATTCCTCCCTTTTTTCAAATTATTTTTTTTCTGTGTGATATGTTGACATCTGTCCCAGTTATTGTATTGGATTGTATATTGTTATGTAATATTTGTTGTAATAATAAAAACAAAATATATTTTAATTAATAATAAACAAAAACACTATCAAATTTACCCCAAAGCCTCAATATACTGAGAACATAATGACGAAATGTTTTGTACTCTAAGCAACCCCGCCTCAACATTGAGTCACTGACAGAAATTCTAAAATATTCGAAATGACATAGGATCAGCTGATAACAAATTTCATATAGAATTCAATCAAACAGACAATAATTTCTAAATCGAAACCAACGACCTTGAATCTGTATAATTACTTTTAAAGATTCAATATACTGAGAACATAATGACGAAATTTTGTGTACTCTAATCCCACCCCTCAGCATTAAGTCAATGAATTGCTGAAAATTCTGAACTGAAATATGATCAGCTGATAAGAAACGTCATATAAAAATCAATTAAGCAGACAATAATTTGTAAATCGAAACCAAAGACCTTGAATTATTACTAATTCTACGTTTTTATAGCTTGAAGAATAAATTAACAATATTTTAATTGCCATTGTTTTCAATTTATATTTTGAAAATATTATATTGGAAATTGTTGTTGTTCTTGCCAGAACATCAGTACAAGGGGGTATATTACACAACATGAAGATTCAAATTGCTGCCTTGGAAGTTCGTACATTTCGAAATATGTGTCCCAAATTTTCCTAGACGTCTTTGGTTTCCTTTGGAAAACTGTGCATTTCTAAACATGAATTGCTTCAAAAAAAGCTAAGTCAATTTTATATCCATTCTTATTTGGATCTATTTATAAGAAATTTAAATCCAAAGATTTACTATCCAGATACGATGATTTTTTAACAACTATAAATAAAAAAAAATCGACAAGCCCGAAGGGGCTGAAAAACATTAGTTCACATATTCTTGTGTGAAGCACTGGACCAAGAGCCGCCAAAAACAGAAAGTCTAGAGGGTTATGAGCAGTTCTTAAATTAGAACAAGTAAAAAAAAATTCCAGTCGGTGTTGCCGACCGATAAATACCCTGAGCCTATGATTTACGGAGGTCTACCGAAATATTACACACTGTTTTTTTATACCCTTCACAACACTGTGGTACAATGTACAGGTCGCATTTATCATCCGATTTGGATGAAATTTGGTATACTTCATTTATCTGGTCCAAGGACAAACCCTATTGAAATTGGTGAAAATCAGTTCAGATTTAGATATAGCTCACATATATTTTTTCGACCAATTTAATGTAAATGGTGTACCAAAGCCCCTATAAATATTCCGATTGGCACGAAATTTGGCACAGCGTACTGGAATGATGTGTGTAAAGTTTCGAGAAAATCGGCCCAGATTTAGAGTTGCTCCTATATATATATATATATATATATATAACAAAGTCTTTTAATATCCTTTGATTTGCACGAAATTTGACATAGTGTAATGAATTAGGTCTAGAATGATGTGTGTTAAGTTTCCTGAAAATCGGTCCAGATTTAGGTATAGTTTTCATATATATTTTCGTCCTATTTAATGTAAATTGTACACTAAAGACCCAAGTTTATGTACAATGTACTGAAGTTTGTATAAGCTCCTATATATTTTCGTCCGATTTTAAGTAGTCAAGTTTGTATAGACTCCTATATATTTTCGTCCGATTTTAAGTAGTCGGTTTAAATCACATATTTAAGTTCGTTCAATTTCACTTTGTGGGCAAGTACCAAAAGGATTGAACCGATGGGCCCCATCTTCGGACATGATCTATGTTGGGTACAAATATTAAAATTTGCAAATTTTGATTCAAATCGGATTTATAAAAATTGAAAATTTTTACCCTTTGTCGGAAAGGTACTGGAAGGAGTATGTCCCATCTTCCAAAATTATACAGGCTTAGTAAAAATATTTGGTTCAAATCGGATAGTCCATTAACATGATATTACAAAATTAATTTTCAGCAAAATTTTGACCATTTTGGGGGAAGTACCAGAAGTAGTGGACATTCCCATATCTTCGAACTCTATTTATGCATAGAAGAAATATTACATTGAATCTAAAACCAATATTTCAATGGGGCACATTTTTGCCGTTTCAAAATGTATATACCCTCATTAGCCATGAGGTTGAGGTTATAAAAAGAAATTATATAGGACAATACCGACATTTTGGGAGTACCTTTATATGGGGGGCTTCCCAAAAAATTTACCGATACAGATAATTTTTAGTGTGAAAATTTGGTATCCAATAAGAGCAAAATGTGCCGATGTTAAGTGAATTCAGTAGAAAAACGCGCTCAAAAAATCCCAAAATACCGAATATTTTAAGGTACTATTGCGACTATGAAAATCGTCTAAGGGAAGACATTTCTGCCTTGTACAACAAAACATATTAGTTTCCTATAAAAAGTGGGTTAAACATTAAACATTATTATAATATTATTATAAAAAACTGTTAAATGTAAACCTTTTTACTAACTATTTTCCCCCTCTCTTTTTGCAGTATTAAGAAAAAAGTGAAAAAGGGTTCCGGCTCCAAAACCCTACCCAATTGTTCGCCATCAAGACAAATCGAAAGTCCAACAATGTCACGAAGACTGCCACCCGATCCATCAGAGGCTATCGGCTCAGCTATTGTTAAATATAATTATCAAGCCCAACAGCCCGATGAACTATCACTGACCAAGGGTACACGAATATTGATATTGGAAAAATCGAATGATGGCTGGTGGCGGGGACAAAGTGGTAATGCCGTTGGCTGGTTTCCAAGCAATTACACAACCGAAGATTGTGATAATGATGGTGAAATACATACATATGCAATGGCTGAGAATGTATTAGATATAGTGGTGAGTATGCAAATGAGAGAAATTATTTTGATATAAATTAAAAAAAAACTCGGAAGAAGAGTTGATATTTTTAGTTTTTGGAACTCTTGGATTTGTAGAAACAAATTGTGGATCTATAGATGAACTCTAAGCGTTCATACTATCTACTATCATACTATCCTTCTGGAAAGCATGTATAAGGACACGTTATTGATGTTTTGTCTACATGGATCATTGGAAGGGCTTATGGTAATCGATATTTTCTTTAAGAACTATAAGAGACCTCCAAAGGGTTATCAGTTCGTTGACGACGTTTGAACATGTATATTTCATTATATTAGAAGTACTTCCGCATATAGAAAGTCTTCAGTTTATATGTTGATTGATGGATTGGATCCTTGAAATAGATACAATCCCGAATTCCATCGGAAAATCATCTTGATTTATGAAGTCCATTTCCATTTTGGTGGGTATATACCTTAAATATGGGATTAGTGAGGACACAGCACAGCCACAATGGCATTGTATCTCTGGAACTTATACCACAAATCTCCATTCTCTAAAATAATGGTGGATGAACTTATGTATGAAGATACCTGATAGGTTCTCCCCCTCCTCCTGAGGACATAAAGATTTGTTCTATCTTCTAAAACGTTGTGGACAAATATATACCCTCAGCCTATGGCTTTCGAAGGTCTAGGGAATAAACCATGGTATTTTTATACCCTCCACCATAGTATGGAGGGTATATTAATTTTGTCAATCCGTTTGTAATTCATCGATATATTCATTTCCGACCCTATAAAGTATATATATTCTTGATTGGGGTAAAATTCGAAGACGATCTAGACGATCATGTCCGTCTGTCCGTCCGTCCGTCTGTAAATTCCTGAAGGAATTGAGATAGCTCGCCAAAATTTTGCATAGAGACGTCTTTTGTCTGCAGGTAGGTCATGTTCGAAGATGGGCTATATCGGTCCACGTTTAGGCATAGCCCCATTAAGGGTACCGACCAATTTTTGATATTTTGCGGTTCTTGAGCGCTTTATTCAACCGAATTCGCTGTAATTTGGTACAATGGGTTCTTATTCGGTACCAAATGTCTCTACTAAAAATTATATATAGTGTGTGAGGGTTGTCCCTATATAGGTGTATAGGGGATATTCTTACTCGACATATTCAGTTTTAACCTACAATTGATGGAATTCTAAGACGATTTAGCCATCGGTTGTAATCATTCCGCTTTCTAAAGAAAATCGTGATAAAAAAAACTAGAACCTGACGATAATTAAATATATTGGCCAGCATTTAGGCTTCTCCCCCATATAATTATACCTTCTGAGACACAAAACATATGTCGGTCATTAAATAGGCATAGCCCTCATTAATTAGGCATAGCAAATAGTACCAAATTTAGTACTTTCCATATACATAAGTACGAATTTCTTAAACTATTTCCATACATCAACAGTTTAGGGTCTTATAGTAATATAATTTAAAAAGGTTTCTTAATTTTAAAATACCTTTAAAGGTTAGGTCTTTTGTTATATGAAAGATTAGAAGAATCACTTCACTTCAAGAGACTCGCAAAATGTCCGAACATTTTTCATCCGATATCATATTTTTTATTCTTTTACTAATTCCCGATTTTTTTCTTTTTCTCCCCCCTCATATATAGGTCGCTTTATATAGTTTCAATTCCAATAACGATCAAGAGCTCTCCTTCGAAAAAGGCGATCGTTTAGAGATTGTGGATCGTCCAGCCTCCGATCCCGATTGGTATAAGGCACGCAATAATCAAGGTCAAGTCGGTTTAGTTCCACGCAATTATTTACAAGAATTAAATGAATATCTAAGTACCCCGTATCGTAATAATGGTGGTGCTGCGGGCAATGGTAATAATCCAGCCAATGCCAATGGTGATTCAATTGATCGTCGGGCCGATGGTATGCCACAAAATTCACCGCCACCCATGGAACGGCCAAATTTAGCTGGCAAATCATGGTATTATGGAGCCATAACACGCAGTCAATGTGATACGGTACTGAATCAGCACGGACATGATGGCGATTTTCTAATACGTGATAGTGAGACCAATGTAAGTGCAAATTTTTTCATACTTGTAAAATATAAAATTAATATTTTTTTTTGTTGGTTTCAGATGGGTGACTATTCGGTTTCTCTAAAGGCTCCCGGACGCAACAAACATTTCCGTGTCCATGTGGAGAACAATATGTACTGCATAGGCCAACGTAAGTTTCATACTCTAGATCAGCTAGTAGATCATTACCAAAGAGCGCCCATCTATACAAATAAACAGGGCGAAAAATTATATTTAGTACGACCGTTACCAAAAGCCAATGGTACGTAAATCATCCGTCACAGAGAAGGGGAGGAGCAACATAGTAAAGAATGATTAAAAAATATTATAAAAAACAACACACCTCATAAAAAAATAAAAAAAAAACTAAATTAAACAAGAACTTAGTAGAGAGAAGAAGACGAAGAAGATAAAAGGTTAAAATCCCAATTATACCAAAACCTTTCAGAAGAAGAAGAAAAAAAAAAATGAAAATAAAAAACATATTCATATAAATTACTCGGAGAGATACCATTTACCATAACGCTAAATATGTTGTCACAATATCACACCTTTAAATAAAATAAAAACAAAAGAAAATAAAAACGAAATAATAAAAAAATATAATATAAACAATTGTAGTTTTTTCCAAAAACAACAGCAACAACAAAACGTAAACCATGAGAATGAATGAAACCAACTGAAATTATTTCATATTTCTATATATATATAAATATATATAAATAAAATATATACAAACTATACATAAAACAAAACCCCCCAAACAACCAACCAACCAATCACCACAACCAAGGAGAGTTACACAAGCAAAAAAAGAAAAACAAAACAACAATTTGCAAAGAAAATATAAATAATTAAATTAAAAAATAATAAATAAAAAAACAAAAACATAATTGTCAAATTACATTTACATCTATTTAGCTATACTATTATATCTATACATAACTACAATATTATATTTAAAACAAAAGAAAAAAACAACAACTATAAAACAATTTATAAACAGAAAAAAATAGCATTCATCACATAATATACATAAACACGCAAAGATATAACAAATTACCAAAAAATTGAAAAACAACCTCCTTTGAGCAAGTTTTTGCCAATACCGTTTTTCCAGCGTGACAATTCTAAACAAAAAACCATTTTACGGACCCAAAAATTTAAAGAAACCTCTCATTTTTTCCAAACAAGAACAACAACAAACAACCTATTCTCAAAAGATTAAAAAATACGCTTCAGATATAAATTTATAAAACTTTTTGTTGAAACTCTTTTTTAAAATTGTTTTCTTCTTTTTTTTTAATTTCGGAATATCCCTTGCAAAATCTTCAATTGAATTTTGAACAGTTTCTACATTTTTACAGATTACAAATACTCTTCAGATATAATTTTATAAAAGTTGTTTAAATTTGTTTTTTCTTCTTTTAATTTTGAAAACCCGGCTTCTGATATCGTGAATATCCTTTGTAAAATTTTCAATTGAATTTTGAACAATAGGCGGCTTTTTCGTATGTAAAATTAAAATTAATTTGAACTGACTATTAAATATTTTTTAAAAGAAAAATATTTTTTCAAATAGAAAAAATATTTTGGACAATATATTTCTTTTTTTGAAGTATTGCTTTTTGTATCTATATGAAAAATCTTTCGATCTTTAGAAGAACTGAAATTGTTCCTACTATCTAGATGTATAGATTTCCTTCTGGAAGGCATTTAAAAGGACACTTTGATGATGATGTTTTGTCTACATGGATCTGTGGAAGGTCTTCTGGCAATAGACATTCTCTTTATGAACTATAAGAAACCTCCAAAGGTTTATCATCAGCCCATTGATGACTTTTCCATATACAGAAAGTCTTCGGTCTATATGTTGATTTTTGGACTTCTTGAAATGGATTGGATGCTTGATACAGATTGGTATCCTTTCGATGGTATCCCGAATACCATCGAAACATCTTCTTGACTTATGAAGGCCATTTCGATTTCGGTAGCCAATCTATATATATATATATATATATATATAAGAGACCTCCAAAGGTTTATCAGTCCATTGATGACGTTTGAAAATGCAATTCAAATCCTTCTGGAAGGCATTTAAAATGACACTTTGATGATGATGTTTTGTCTGCATGGATCTGTGGAACGTCTTATGGCAATAGATGTTCTCGTTAAGAACTATAAGAGACATCCAAAGGTTTATCATCAGTTCATTGATGACATTTGAAAATTATTTTTTTTCTCTTTATAGTAGATGTACTTCCGCATATAGAAAGTCCTCTTCAGTCTATATGTTGATTATCTTTGGAATTTTTGAAATTGATTGCATCCTTGAAATTGATAAAATTATCCCGAATACTATCGAAAAATCTCCATGACTTATGAAGTCCATTTCGGTAGCCACTATAGATTACATACCTCAAATATGGGATTCGTGAGGATATTTTGGACACAGGACACCCACAATGGCCTTCTATCTTTTGAACAACTACCACAAATCTTCCCTCTAGAATATTGATTGTAGAGATAGTTATGTTTGAATATTCCTGCTGGGTTCTTCCCCTCCTCCTGAGGATATAAACGATCTTCTAAAGCGTTTATATAAATCTTATGAAAATAATTAAGAAATGTCAAATTTATACCCTGAGCCTATGGTTTTCGAAGGTCTAGGGAATAAAATATAGGTTTTATTATTCGCTTTATATAGCTTCAAAGTGTTGACCATTTTCAAAAAGGTTCCATATGAAATTTGCATAGTTTGGATAAAATCTGATATTCCTAAAATAGTCCATGGACCATAGACAATTTCTAAAGATTTTCTATCTAATAATACCCTACCAGAATATATATAGAAGTCTATTTCATGGTTTTCAATTAAAGAGCGGTGGAAATTGGCAGAAACTTTTTGGAGGGTCTACCATCGATTTAATATCAGAAGACATTGACATTTATTTTGGCTTTTTTAATAGACCCCAATTTATGACCCTTTGGATAGTTGCAGAATTTATCTAAAGATTTTCTATCTTAAAATCCCATTTAATTCCTTTATGGAGACAAATGAGAGAAGCGACGGGGGTCAAATAAGATATTAATACGCGGAAAACGATCACCTATAATTCAGATGTTCGATACTTTTCTGTTTATTATTCATCCTCTTCTAGGAAAATGATCGATTAAATTGATCGATTTTGAGGTTCTCTCTTCCTTCGCTACCGCCACATTCACCTGATTATTGTTTTCAGTAAATGGAATATCACGACTTATCATCGTGTGCAGGACTGGGACTAACTATAAAATTTTATTGAAAATGTTTCAAAATTTATTTGTTCTACTAATTTTAATTATAAACGCAAGAACAAAATTCAGCCTCTCTGAAAGCAAGAAAACAAGAAAATGTTATACTAATTTATATTTACTATAAAAAGCGTACAGCAAAAATATAAATTAGCCTAAAAACAAGAACAACAACAAGACATAAAGAACAAACGCATATTTATATGATTAAATTTAGTATACATTACATTATTATAATTGTAATAAAAGAACAAAAAGAATAAGAAAAACAACTGAAAATTAATTCCAAATGTAATCATTGCAAACGTAAAAAAACAAAACAAAATGAGAACAAACATTAAAAAAAACCCAAAAGAACCACCACCCCCTTAAATAAATATCATAGAAATTCATTATTTATATATTTAATTATTAATTTTAAAGTTAATTTTTTTACCAAGAAAAAAAAAACAAAACTTCTTATCATAAATATTTATTAAAAAAAAAAAAAACATAAAATAATTAATATTAATTTTTAATGACGACGTTAGAAAAAAACTCTCAAGTCTATGATTAATAATTATTGTTTATTATAAATATAATTTGTACAATCATTTGTAGTATATTTTTTTATTATTATTACTCTATAAGTTTTTCCCAATTTCCATAATAAGATTTACAAATAGATATTATTTTTTATTTTATTTTTATAAGCTTTGCTGCTATTTTCGTTATTGCTTTTCTATTTATATGAAATGTAGATAATCTCTTTTTATCATAATAATAATAATAATTACAAAACAAAAATTAAATTAAAAAAAAATACTTTCGAAATAAAAAGAAATATTCAAAGAACAAAAAATAAAAAACAAATGATTTTTAATTCGATTTCATTTTTTTAATAACAACTATTTTTGATGTGTTGTTTTAGGGCTGTTGTTATGTAAATGTTTGATTACACAATTAAATGTGAGCAATTTGGGGCAGAGTATTCCGTATTATAAATTTAATTTTATATTTTGGATTATAAATTTAATTTTTATATTTTGTTTTCAATTCATCAATTATGATCTCAAAATTTTTCTCGTTTGTGTTATATATTAAGGATAATTTAGACAAACCTTCGGGCTATGCAACGAGGTTATTTCCACTGATTCCACGCATTTTGGGTAGACACGATTCAACAATTGAACATATAGTTGTTGTAGCAGCCCTATTGCTTTTACAATATGGGCTGCTGAGGTGATAGACGTTGGCCGAGAAAGACACGGGTCGTTTCGGACCATAGAGTTCTCTGTCGTGGCAACGATTGAACATATACAGCCTTATTCTGGATGTCAATTCCATGTGAATTTACTCGCTCTTTCCCTTCGCCTTATTCTGAACAACATTTTCCTGTGAATTTTTTCGCATTCTCGCTTTCGCCTTATTCTGAATGAAGTTCGAAAGCGAAAAAATCCGCTTTGGCGAAAAATTAGGTATTCTGAATTACAGATGAGATGAAATTTTGTGCGAATTTTTTCGCTAATAAATTTAAGGGGAGTTGACTACAAAAACATAATAACTATTTTTATGAAAAATATTTACACAATACTTATTCTATGATGATTTAGAATATTATAAATGATAGTAATCAAATTTTTAACTGGAAAACAGCCAATAAAATGCCATTGGAAATCCTATTGATAACGATGCATGCTGAACCAAGTATTGCCAAAGAATGTATGAAGGTAATAAGGAATATTTAAGTCGAGTTTGATGCATTTTGGAGGCGAAATACAGACATTTGGGTGAGGATCTGTCTCTCAAGAAAACAATTTTAAAAATTATGGAAAAACCAAATTTGCCTGATGAGCCGCTTAACAGTGAAAAACTGAAATAAAAATGATGAAAGAACAAAAAATATTTTTTTTCAAAATTATCGTGTGCATGATTTGAAGCAAGAAATAAAGGAGTAGGAGCAAATCATAACATAACTGACCACTTTAAGAATTTGG